CCAGGGAAGCCTCAAAAGCGCAAGGAGGAAGGAGCCGTCCGCCGGGACTGCGGCGCGGCGTGCGGTGGCGGCACGGCGGCCAGCACTGCAGCTGCAGGTCGCTGCCGTATCGATTGGAGGCCGCTGCCTTCGCGCGGAAAGGAAAAACTACTCGCGCGAAAAATATTAGCTCCGGCCGTGACCCCGGCAGGCTGATGCCCCAACAGGGCTTTCATCGCCCTGTCTCTCTCTCTCACCCCCGGGCCCTTCGGTGGGTGCGAGTGAGAAGGACGGCGCCCTTGCCCCTCACTGCCGCCAATACTAGCGCGCTGGATTCCGGATTACGCACTGGTCTGTATAATCCCCGCCCCGCGCCACTTTCGCTCGACTCTGCCGTTTTATTTTTCATTTTTTTTGTCAGCGCGGCGGCGGAAACGGAAGGCACTGGGAAGGCGGCGGCGGGGAGGATCGAGGGGACAGCTCCTCCAACTCGAAATCGTGCGCGCAGTGCCATGTGCGATATTACACACACCGCCCACACTGTAGAGTGAGAGTGAGAGGTGTCTCTCTCGAACTCATGGGGCGCTCCATAGACCGACGGCCGCTCTACCGCTGCCTCGCGCACTGTGCGGCAGTGCCCCGGCGTGTGCGCACCGAGGCGACGGCGACGTCGTCCGTCCGCGGCAGTCCCTCCGCTCCCTTTCGACACCTCCCTTCCTCTTCGCACTCTTTATCCGCCACCCGGCCCCCTTCGGTCTGCCTGCCTTCACGGCCTTCACTCCGGAAGCAATAATACAGGCAGCGCCCCGCGCGTCGCCGCGCCGAAAATGCTACACGCCGCCGCACGCCCGAACGCACCCCCTCCCTCTTCTCCTTTTCCGGGAGATTAATATTTGCAGTGTACAAACGGCGGCGCGGCGCCGGGATTAAGGTGCACGTCAATATTAATGTTTAAGCCGCGCTGCGCTGCAGGCCGCAGACTGATTCCGAAAGTCGTTTCCGTCGCTCTGTCTCTCTCGCACTCATGGGGCGTCCCGTATGGGTGCGAGAGAGACAGAGCGACGACCGTCCGGAATCAGTCTCGCCGCGTGGAGGAATCAAGACGCGTCTCCCGGACGGCCCGCGGCTGTGCGAATCGCGGCGCGTGCGGGTTAATGAAGCGATCCGCGCAGTTCGTCTCCAACAACAACAAGAACAAAGTCAACAACAACAGCTCGGCGGTGCAGCGGGCTCGCCTGTCACGCTAATTTCCTCGGCCTCCCACCGCGGCGCTGCTGCTGCGCGATGATCTGCATCATGAGAAGATCTTCTCTCGTCCCGCGCCCCGCGTAGAAAAGCGAAGCCTCGGCGGCCTCCAGGGCGAGAAAGGGCCGGCCAGTGGACATCGGCAGGACCAGGACTCCAATATCTGGCGTATCGGGCATCGGGCGCCACCGAGCCAAGCGGGCCGAGTGGGGCCAAGCCGGGCCAAGCGGAGGGCCGAGCCCCGAAACCGCCGACAATGCAGTTCGCGCGGCGCGTGGCCGCCTCGGTGGCCGCCGTGCCGCACTGCTCGGCCTCGGCGCGGCCGCGGGGCGACGCTGCGGCGGGCCGGGCCGGGCCGGGCGGTTTGGCCGATGATTTGGATGGCAGTTTTTCTTGTTCTTCGGGGCGACGGGCGACGAGGGCAGAACGGCCAAAGGGTGCGGGAGGGGCGGCCGCCAGCAACGCACGCACTCGCTCTGATTGGCTGCCTCTGCTGATCGGGCCGGATACCGAAGGACGCGCGCGCACCAGCAGAAAAAAAACAAGGGGGAAATGACCCCGAAAAATAATGTCCCTTGAATTTGCATGGTTACGGCCGGCGAGCTTGGTGGAGCTTGCAGGACGCCGCGAAAGGGGTGACTTCGCCGAGCCAGCATAGTGCGGCGCGCGGCGCCCGAGGGCGCGTTGCCGTGTTGCCCGGCCCACGGCCCACGTTCCATGCCGGCACGCCGCGGGTAAACACTGATACCGCCCATTGCCAATTGGTTCCTGACTGCGCGGGAAGCCGGCCGCGCGGTGTGGTGCGGCGCGGCGCTTTCGGGTCCGCTTGTGTGGAGGCTCGCCCCTCGCCCCCAGCGCAGCGCGCAGCGCCCCGGGCCGCCCCGCCCCGCGCCCCTAAACTGTCCGGCAAGCACCCCTTGCTTCCCCCACAGCAAACTTGCCGCCCCGCCCCGCTGAGCCCCGCGTCCGCGTCCGGCCAGCCCACTCCCGGTGCACCTTTGTGTTCCATTACTGCGCGGCGTGTTTGGACAGCGAGCGCGGACAGGGCCGGACAGCGACGCGGCGCCCCGGAGGAGGCCGTGGAGGCTCTGCTGCAGATGCACTCTAGCGCCCAGCGCACAGCTTGGCCCACGCGTCCTGGCCCAGCCGCCGAGGCAGGGCGGCGGCACACAGTGGGCCAGAAGACCGGTGGAGGTGGCCAAAACTCTAGACGCGTTTTGAGCTCCAGAGTCGCTCAACAGGACTGGAACCGAACGAGTGACCCCACCAATGGATTGCTCTCCGAACGAGCAACCCATTGGTGGGGTCACACGTTCGGTTCGAGTCCCATTTAGTGACTCTGGAGCTCAAAACGCGTCTGGAGTTTTGGCCGCCTCCACCGGTCTTCTGGCCCACTGTGCGGCATCGCCGGCGCCAGCCGGACTCCCTCCCGGAAACGCGGCGACGATCAGCCAAGACGCCGCCGCCAGCCCCGGCGGGGGGTCGTCGGTCGGAGGGACGGCGACGACGACGGCGACGGCGACGGCGCCCCGCCAGCCCCGCCAGGCCGCGATGACGGAAGATGGATCGTCCTAATGGAATGCTTGTCCTTCCACGCGGCCTGGAGAGGCGCCCTGCCCTGCGGCCCCGCGCCCCGCGCCCCGCCGAGCGGCAGCGCGTCGCCGAAAGTGGTCCATCCCACGCCATTTTTCGCAATCCCGGAGAAAATGGGGCGTCGCGTCGCCTCGCGACTCAATCAGATGCACCTAAACCTCCTCCATCACGCGCCGCACGACGGCGACGACACGACGCGCTGCTCCGCGCTGCTCGTGCTCATCGGATGGAGTGATGAGCCCTACATCACGCGATTACACGGAAAAGCCAATGCCGGCCGCGCCGCCCCCGCGCCGCCCCCGCTGCCATCCATCAAACCGGAGACATGTTCTCTGCCCCCTCCCCGGCCCGCGTCTCGCGGTAATCCTGCGGCAGCCAGAGGTTACTTGCAGATGAGATTAGAGTGATGCCGGCTCGGGCGCGATGAGGTGGGCGCGCTGTCAGACTGCTGTCAGCGGCGGTGTGCTTCTGTCCCCACAGGACGGTGTGCTCCAAGGACCCCCGGATTCCGATCAGAATGGCGTTCCTGGAGCGACGCGCGTCGCGTCGTCGTCGGCGTCGTCAGACAGGATCACGGCTGAAGCGGCACCAGAAAGGTCAATCTGCAGACTGATTCCGAGAGTCGTCTTCGTCGCTCTGCCTCTCTCGCACTCATGGGGCTCCTTATGGAGGGGAGGGCCGTCGTCGTCGCTTCTGGGAAAAGGGGCGGGGCAGGACGCACGTCGCGCACGTCACGGACAAGGCGGGGCGCGGGGCGTCATGTAGGCAAGGGGTGGCCACTGGCCGCGGGGCTTGGCGGGGTGGGGCGAGGCGGGGCTGCTCTTTGTCGGGCTGTCGTTTTAATAGCCATTGCAGTGAGGGGTGGGCACTGCGCTGCTACGCTGCTACGCTGCGCGCACGGCGCACTGGATACTGCGGGGCGGAAGCGGCGAGGAGCGCGCCGTGCAGTGTGCCGGCCGGCAGGGAGATGAGCACGCCGTCGGGGAGCCTAGGGCCGCGGCCGGCACGAAGGGAAAGGCCCCCCTCCCCCTCCCCTCGACAATGAATTACGTTTGAACGCAAAGGCTGGCGCGGGGCAGGGCGCTCTCCCCACGAGGACGTCGAGGACGCCGAGGGCGGCGTGGGGGACGCCGCCATTGGCCTGGCGTGTCGTCACACACGGCGATGACGTCATAAAGAGCCTTTACGCCCCGCAGCGGGCCGCAGCCCCCTGGCCGGGCTGATGAACCTGGATCATGGGATTGACACGACGGGGCCGCGGGGGGGCCGCAGCGCTATTTTGTTGAAGCCGCTGTGACGTGCAGCGTGCAGCACGTTCAGGTGCCACTGGGGACTGGGGTGCCTCCGCAGCGTGGAGCCCAATAAGAAGAGAAAGCCTAAAGCCTCAACGGCAGTTCGGGGGGACTTCCGGACTTGTAGCTCTACCGGTAGCCTATGTTCCTGGCCTGTTCTCTTCGAGGGGGCAAGGAAGGATCTTCCAGGGAACACCCACCCCGCTTGGTCGGCATGCGCGCTACCGCGCGCAGCGTCCGCCTGTGCGTGACCGCTAATCCTCGCGCGGAAGAATCATATAAGGAAGAATCTGCAGAGAGTTCGCCTTCCAGGATGGATGTTCCATGGCAGGGCTTTCACGTGAAACTTGCACTGTGCACCCTGCGAGAGCCCCGCCACGTTCCTGGTCTGTTGAATGACGCACAGAGTGACACACGCGCTCTCCCTATTTTGCGGCAGTTCGTCTTAGAGCGGATAACTAAAGAGCCAACTTCGGTTCCAGTCGAATGAGTGCGCCCGGCCCCACCCCCTTCAGTGAAGGAGGCGCGGCCGTCGTAAGAGGGGCACTATATGGGCATCCGCATATCTCTCCCCCGCCCCCTACTTTGGGCTGGATCAGCTTCCCCATCGTGCTTTTTCTTTTCGTTTACTGCCTGCGCTGCACTATACGCAGCCCCCTCTGCGTATTATATTATTTTCCCACTTTTATTATAGTAAGTCTTGTGTTCGGGTCTCCTCCGCCAACAAGCGCCCATTTCGAAGGGGTCACATAAAAGTTTCTTTGTGTCCTTTTTGTGCAGCCAGCGGGAATCAGCGGGAATTCCCCCGTCAAAAATAAAGGCGCACATTCTGTGTGAGGTGTCCGCGTTCAGGACCATGATTTAAAAAAAAAGAAAATAGGAAAACAAGAGGTATTTTGAGAAAAGTTTATTTTCAACAAAATCTTTCTGATGAGCAAGTTATCTGACAATGAAGGGCGCAAGGAAAACTTAACAAGATTGAGAGAACAAAACAAAACATTATTTTACAAACAGCTGTGGGTATACAGTTAGGCATATAACTTGAGGAACTGTATCACATAATATTAAAAATGAGGTAAGAAAAGCTACACATTGAACAGGAAGACAAATGCTTGAAAGATAACCAAAGACAAAAACTTCTTTGGTTTTCAAATTGAGGGAGCAGAAACATATGTACCAGTGACTATCCTACATATCAATAAACATAAATCATAATACTGAAGTATTTGTAAGTACTTTAAACCAATACTGGCAAGGTAATTCCAAACTCCGATGAAGTAATTCACTAATACTTAAATTAGAATACTGCCTAAAACTGTACAAAAATGACAAAAATCAATGTTTTAGAGACTTAAATGGCTGTGATAAGGCACTGTGTTATGTTATAAACCATGACATGTGTAAAAATTTTTATCAAAAAAGTCTTGGTTAAATAGCATGAAATAAGGGAGATTTTAAACAAATTGTCTCTGATAAAAAGCTAGACCTAAGAGGCAAATTATGGTTAGGTGCACTGTATTGGGGTGAGTGACTTCCAATAACAGCTTTACAGTTTATGACATAGGTCATATCATAACAGTCTTAGTTTTCAGAGAAAATACAAAACATCTACCATTGTGTCCAGTACAACAAGCTCTAACTACCTACCAACTTCAATTTGTAATGTTGGCTTACTACAATCACATAGGATAAGGCAAGGTGAGTGGCAGAAAGCTTTAAAGAGAGCATATATTACTTCTATTTCAGTCATCAGGGAGAAAAATCCAGAAATAGTAAGTCAAGTACAAGAAAATACATTCAATTATTTTGCTATGAAAAAAATAAGGAGATTCTGATTAATGGACACAAGGTAAAAGGTACAAAACAAGTATTTGGCTTTTAAAAAAAAGTCTTAAAATGTGAAGGCTAATTAAAACAATAGGCACAAGGACCATGACAAAAATACAATTCTATCATCATGCTTTTCCTGCCACAATACCACAATCTTCAGTTTTCTACAAGAGTTTCTTAGTCAAAGCGGTCAGTTTCTTTTCATTTTAGTCTTCTTCTTTGGCAGAGAGGAACAACTTCTGAATACAGTGGGTAAAGCCATCTGAAATTAAGAAAACTTAATTTGAAGAAAAAAAAAAAATTTGAACATACACAAAGAACTGTTTCAGAAACAGTTAAGAAATCACTCACCCATGGCATCTGTGAACCAAAGGGGTCTTTTGCCGTGAGCAATGAAGATGAGATAAACTGGGATGCCAGTCACCGTGATGAGAACACCCATTCCCACCTCGTAAGGAGCTTCATAGCACGGCACAATGAGCAAAAATAAGCACACAAGGACAAAGAAGATTGGAATCCACACAGAAACCTGAAAACATTTCAAAAAGATACATAATTTGAAGCTTTTAAAATTAATTAAATTGTTGTTGGTGCATTATAAGTAAAAGTGCTCAACAACCTTTATGGGTCTCTCCATGTCAGGTCTCTTGTAACGCAACCAGAGAATACCACTAACAGAAAGCATGATAAAGGCAGACTCTACAAAACTTGAGTAAGTAATGAGGACATTCACATTGCTTGAGCACAACATGATGAGGGATAATAAACACTGTAATCAGAAATAAAACTGAGTTAATCCAGCAATTAAGGATAGATAGCAGACAATGGTGAAAATAAAAACTTACAAGGAAGACTAAACTTGGCACAGGAGTAAACCGATCAATATTGATGTGAGATAATACTGCGGGAAAATGGCCGTGACGAGCTCCAACAAAGCACATTCTGCAACAATTATTAGTATTTTATAGATTTACTGGATTTCTTTCAATAGAGGAAGGTGTCTGAGTAAAGATGCTGAGAGGCAGAGGAAGTGGTGTCTCAGAGGTTCTCCAGGTCCAAGTAAAGGGGTATGAGAACTTGCCTAGATGATGTCATAATGTGAACACTTAATCCTCCAAAAGCAGAAAGAGCAACCATAAATGGCATTATTCCAGAAGCAGGTCCCAATGCACGATCTGCAAAAGACTGTGAAATGATGGGTTAATTGTACAAATTCATTGTGGAAAAATTGTTTTTTTTTTATTGAATTTTACTTACTACAGCTATAGCTGTGGACGACATCATTTCTGAAGATGGGAGTACGGCCAGATATGCTACATTTGCAAGAACATAGACAAATGTCACAACAGGCAGGGAAATGTAGATGGCTCGGGGTAGGTTCCTACAAAAAATATACACCACGATTAGGTTTACCCCAATAGAATTTTAGTAAGAGAGTGAATGGCATTATAAATGTTGACACTCACACATATGGGTTGACTAATTCTTCAGTCATAAAATTGAGATAATTCCTGAAATATTTAACAAATTTGATAATTATTTCTAGGGGACAATGTCATAGAAATTTACAATATTTTTTACTCTTACCAGCCAGAGTATGAAAATATACCAGCATAAAATGCAACAGACACTTTGGAAACACTTGTGCTAGTTCCTTCAAACATGTTGTTAAAATTGCTTGTTCCACCTAAAATATCATTTCCCAAATTAATCTTAAATTTGATAAAACAAACGACAAAAATCTAAATTTAGAAACCTTACCAGGTAGGAGCAGGTAAATTATTCCAGCAACTATAACTGTCAAAAGAGCACCAATCTTTGCAAACATGAATACATTTTGCAATTTTGTTGTTGACTTCACACCATGGCAATTTATCCATGTCAGAAAGCCTATGAAAATAGGAAAGGTTGAAGAAGTAAGTGATGATATAAAATCTCAGAACAGTGCTCAAAATGAAGAAAACCTTACATATAGTTACTGCAGCCAAAATCCTAATAGCATCATCAGGAGCAGAACAATTGGGAAAAAAGGGCTGAATGACATATCTGGCAAAAGTCAGCCCCATGATTGCATTTGTAGTCGGCCTAAGATAAATAGAGACATTAGAGGTAACAATTTAACAATGATGATGAAAACATTTGGTATATGCTCAATGTCATCTATGACCTGTGACCAAATAAGGTCTCCACTCAAAAAGCAGAAGAAACACATACAGATAGACACACTTGACAACATGACATGAAAAGCTTACACAAAGATCAGCATGGCATCCCACAGGTAGAGGAAAGCAGGAAGAGGTCCGAATGTCTCAAAAATGTATGTGTAATCACCACCAGACTTGGGGATGGATGTACCAAGTTCCGCATAGCACAAGGCACCAACCATGGACATGAGTCCACACATACCCCACACAGCCAAGGAGAAACCCACAGACCCAGCACCTTCCATGACCCCAGAGGGTGATATGAAGATACCTAAAGCACAGACAATGGTTAGCCTCACTTGTACAGTTAAAGATACCGTATGATGGTAAATTGAATCAGCGATTAATTCATTGGAATTTAAATGAATCTATAAAATATTGAGAAAACACCAAAAAAAGTTAATTTTGCGATGAAATGAATCACTGAAAGCTCTCCCAACTCTTAAGCTACTATGACTTAAATGGTAAAAAATATTTGAGCCACTGAAACATACCTGAACCAAATATTATTCCAAGAATAATGGCAACACCTTCCAGCAAGCCCAACTGCTTCTTCATTTGGACTTTATCACCTTCCCAATCACCTTTATTTCCATCTTTGGGTGTAACAAGACCATTTTCAGTAGAGGTATCATTTTCTCCTCCACCGCCAGCCATTTTTCCTGTAATCAAAAATAGATGGAGCTGAGAACTAGTAACTAACAAAATGGTAACTTAAGTGACGATAAAACTCGTCTACTACAATCAATATATGTATCAAATGGGTACAAGACAATTAACTGCTGTGTGAAAAGAAATTATTTCGATACATTTCGTCATTGTAAAGGAGCATAAAAAAAAGACCCAAATATAAAAATTCCTTTAATAACCGTTAAAATTTTATTTTGCCAGTATATAATTGGGCAGTAGGAGCACTAAAAAGTAACATTGGAAATCAAGTCACGAGATGACGGTAAAAATAAGAAGGTAGGATTTTAAGTTTCTGTCACCAACTGAGATCAGTTGAGACCATTGCCCCGAAATTTTATCATTTCCCAGAGGACGACATAACCTTGATTCTTCCCCAGGAACCGCAAGCGGTCATCGCGTCTTACTTCGCTCAGTCGTGACAGCGAGGGTGCGGCAGCGAGTCCAACCAGCAGATGGTTTCAAACCTCACAAATGCTTTACCTTCCGTCTCGCACGGCACAATCCCAAGTGAATCGAGTCCCACAGTTGTTGCTTCTTCGCCTCTCAGCTCGCGAACACAACATGTGCGGTGCAGACGCCAGACCGGGTGGAAAGGAATGGGGGGGGGGGGGGGAGGATGGGATGAGAATGAGAGGGTCTCTAGGGAAGACAGTGCGAGAGCGGGGCTCTAGCGCATGGAAGTACACAATGCTTATTTTAAGTTCAGTGCTCAGAGAACAAAGCCTGAAAACGACGCTTTCTCGACCTTTCAAGTGCATTCGGAGATCTGGGCACCAGTGCATTCGGGGATCTGGGCAAAATTAAATTTTCGTGGAGCCGTTTTTTATTGGCATTTGATGACGCCAGTCCCGCCTTGTTGCCCCTAGTTGGCCTCTCCCCTATCTATTCTTTCCACAGTGTCCTAGTGCTCCAAGGCGATGGCATTAATATCTCTCCTGATGAGGCATCGCAGCCAGTGCTAATAATAGCATTTAGGGGCCATGCAGCCATGGCTTGCATCAAAACAAATAAAGCAAAAGGCTACTCACATATCTGTTTTTAATTTTAAAACAAACATATAAATTATAAACATGCTATATAGGAAGTTAGTCATCCAAACCTCCAATAACAACTGACATATCATGACATATTAAGAAAATGAGAACAAATTGAGGAACATGAAAACCTTTACAAAATGCAGGAACTAGATTTAGGTTTCAGGTACAACATGATAACATTAACAACAATATTTATAATCGAGGGAAGTCCATGGTGGAAAGTCCCCTTTCTTCTTCTAAGGGACGCCATTCTTCTTGCTTTAACACTGAGCTGAATCCAGTGGATTCTTTTTCCTTTAACGGACGAAATCTGAAACAGGAATATAAAAGCAAATCTTTATTGGGCTGTCTATATTTTTAAATATTGGTGGCTTAAGACTTGAGATGAAGACGGTACAGATAATTTGATGGTGTAACTCACTTAGTTTTCTTAGATTTTTTGGTTACTTTGGTTTTCCTCTCCAACTTGTCCGATGACTCATCTAAGCTCACACCACTTAGGGTGCTTAGGGCCGAATGATATGCACTGCTGCTTGTGCTGTCATCCTCAGATGACTCCATTTGCTGCTTTTTACTATGTAATTTCGTAAAATAGCACTCATTTTCAAAGACAATTTTTTCCTGAACCTGTTGGATTAGGAAAGGAGTATAGGTGAGTGAACGAAAGAGCCAAGCAACTTCATAAAAGGGAATGTCATGAAATTATAGAAAACTTACCTGCTTAAGGTCCTCTGTCACTTCCTGCCTAACTTCATCCATAGTGATTCTGTCAACGATTTTTGGTATTTCATTCTGAGGATGGAAAAATAAAGATAATGATTATGCCAATTTTTTTCAAACCCCGATCTTCTACTTAAGTCCCACCAAACATAATAAGCCCACAAAAATTTTCCTTGATCCTGTGCCACACAAGACATTGATAGACGCACATGATTAAATGAAATACATACCGAGAGCGTTTCATGTTCATAAAGAGGATGTCCATCCGCAGCTGCTGAGTCATGACTACTGTCATCCAGTAGATTCATGTGTTTATTGATTTCTAATTCAACCGAGTTTTCGTCATCATGAAAATCTGATACAAAATTTATGTCAGAGTAGAAATCATCAAATGAGTCCCAATGATCCATCTGAAAATAAACAATGAATGAGGACAGAAACAAACGCATCTGGAGAGTGGGGTTGAAGTACCTGCATGCCCTAGACTATAATTGAGCCATGCAATAATATTTTTTCCACCAAGAAGTTACATAACGCTAATTTTTATTTAAATATGAAGACTGGTTGGTTGAATAGAAAGTGCATACTGCAAATTTCATTACAATAGTGAGGTTAAGTTACGCTCAAAAGACACATTCGTGAAGATAAAACAGGGGTAGGTTTATGTTTAACAGACACTGTCATTTTCTAACCATATTAAAACTGGCTTGAGCTTCGGAGAAGAATAAAGGCAGTAAGAACAGACAGAGCAGTGACTGACCTTGAGAGGAAAAGGACTCCAAGGACTGACAGGTGGGTGACAGCTCGCCAAGAAGAATGTCAACAAACAGACTTCCAACAGAAACAGGGGGCGTGCTGTGATTGGTTGAGCGTTGGATGTGGCTGGACTCCGGGGAGCGCTTGGGTCGTCAGCGGGTTTCAGCGGGAAATACGAAAACTTCCCCTCGGTATGACAGGACAAAGGCAACAGCGGGTTTCTACGGGGATGCAAAGCGCAATCGCCAATCGGGGAGCCAGGTCAGATCACCTTAGTGACAGTGATCACCACCTTCACACTCGCCACCTCGCGGCAGCACGTCAACATTGGAGGCCTCCAGCTGCAGGTCAACATGGGCCCTGTCGCCGGTCGGTCCGGTCCGAGGAAGCAAAACACCCCAAATGGAGTCAGAAATAGGCGCTGCAGCCAAATGATTTGTCTTCTGAGAGAGCAATGATGGGACCGGGGAAAAATTTGGCGAGCCATATTAAAAAATGAAGGTTTACATAAACTTTATTCATTTATTAATAAGGATCAAATAGACAAACCATGATATTAACAACAACTAGATGTGAAAACTGAGAGGGAGAAAATAAGAAAAAAGCAGTATACATTATCAAGGACAAGACCTACACGATACAATATACAATTAACTTTTACGAGCAGACTTGCATATTTTGTTCCTTGGTTTCAGTTAAAAATCTTTGAACATCTAGCAATTTGAATGTGCTCAAAAAGGTGTTAGTACAAACATGGTTGTTAATTCCATTTTGGATAATTTGCCACTCTTTACAAATTACACCTGTCAGGTATGTATACTAAATCCGGTATTTTAGTTTCCTTTTGACTAATACACAATTTGAAGAGTGCTGATTATGGTACCGGTAATTCTTATCTAAAAACAAGGGGAGGAATAACCTTTAAAAAAGGAGGATTAATATCAACAGCTTAACTTTGGATAGACTGCAGCAAAAGAAATAAGTTAAAGCAACAACAATGAATATTACAGTACACGTTAAACAATTTACAACATACATGAGTAAAGAATATTAACTTCTCTTATGAGAACAGAATAACAATTACTTCTCTACTGAAGTAGTCAAATCATTTGATGATGAATTAGTTTGATTAAAACTGCAAAAGACTTTTCACTACACTAAAACATCAACTACTTTCCTAATTATGCAATGTTCATAACTACGAGTAGATAGAATAAAGCCACATTATAGGAGATGAGATTCTTTTATAATTTTAAGTAGTTTGATAAATAAAACAACTCTGTTGTTTATTTCCTAACACGAAGAGCATTTTCACAAATGATTCACCTATAAAAGTTCTTGACTGAAAGAAACATACATATCAACAAAATTTTTCAAAAGGCTTAATGATAAATATTTTGATTTCTGACAACATTGAGTAGTACTGCTAAAGAACTTCTAACATGAAAAATAATCCATAGGAGTAGAAAGTAGGAAGAAATAAAATAGTTTATGAAAAGTGATCAAGAAAATCCAGTAGTTAAATCACAGAAGTTTACCAATACTAGAGCAAAAGAACCACACATCCCAACAACTTTACCTCAAAATGGGCTTGCTTCTTAATCACAGACAGTTGACAAAGTTCTTTACAAATATTTCAGTCTCTAAGCCTTGGCTAATTACAGACAGCTACCTCCTGCTCCTCCAGAAGGACCCCCTCTATCTTGAAAATCAGAACTGTGGGAAAAACGTTTCGGCTGTAATGGTGAAAAAGGTGCATAGTTGTAATGAAAGACCAGGTTTTTGATATTGGATATTAAAATGAAAATAATTACAGACTTACACGAGAAGGTACTGAGGGGGCACCTCCATCATCTAAAACATCAAATGCCTCTGCTCCCAGTGCAACACCTGCACCAACTCCACCAACTGCCCCAAGACCCGCAAAATCTGCAGCTCTTGCAGTTGAGGGTCTTAGCAAAGCCAGAGAAGCTGTTCCAATATTGCTAGGACTTCTTCTGTCATTGCTGTGAATTTCACCTGCTTCACTTGCGGTTTCAGTTGGAGCAGAAGTGGATGGTATGGCATCTCGGCTATGGCTAGGTCCACCTCTATGATTTCCTAAAACAAAGACAAGACCAAATACAAACACTAACATTTTGATTCTAATATTCTTGAAATAAAGATGAAAAATATCTCACCAAATTTGGAACAATCAGCATGCTGCTGTCTATTATCATCAGTCTGGGCAGGGCATTCAAAATGTACACAGTGGAAAACCTGAAAAAGAAATTTAGAGGGGAATAAAAGAGGATGGTATAATAAAAAAAAACTGAAGGAATACAAAACAAGTCAAAATATTTTGAACCTCATTTGCTGTGTTGTGGGTTCCCACTATCCTTATTCCGACAACTGGCCGGCGGTCAAAGTGCAGGGTCATCCAGGAACGACAACTTTCTCTCGTTTTATCAATAGTGAGTTCCCAATCTCGGAAATTAATAGTGGTTTCCACATAAAACCCATACGATCGATCGTCACAATCCCATAACAATAATCTACAATCGTAAACAAGGGTAAACAATCAATAAATAAAAGTTAATAAAACAAAGATTTCAGATTTCTCACAGAATTTTATAATGCAGTACCTCATAGAATCCAACATATAAGGCTGGCCTAGCTGTATGAGAATAGAACCACTTCCTAGCTGGTGGCAAGTGTAGCCAGAGTCCCAATCATAATTGTTTGTATTACCATTAAGTAATGTGTTTCTGCTCCGACTTACACCCTCTATGACAGAAGCACTTTTCTCCACAGTGGCAACATTATGTTTTGGAACTGTAAAAATGCAGAGAATTTTGTTAACATAAAAGATCATTTTGATATTCCAAAATTAATTGTGATAGTTGAAGAACAGGTTCTCCACAATTGGAATGGTTCAGAAACAACTCACCAATGAGTCCCTTTTCCAAGACGAATGGAGTATTGGTGAACATTGCTTCAAAGGACACTACATGGAACACTTTATTTACAGTGTTGTTTGTTCCAACAATACGGATATATTGAATTACTCTTGGTTCAAAATATAAGAACTGCCATGAGCGGCAAAAGTAGAGAGTATGGTCAATAACACGAACCCAGTCCTTTTGATCCATTGACACTTCAATGTAATACTGGTAAGACCTGAAGGAGATAATGTGTAAAAATATGCGTCAGCAATAGGAAAAATCGTGGGAATAATTAATTGTTACGACAGTACAATGCGGGTGAAAATCAATATTCCTACCTCATGTCTTTATCCCACAATAGCATTTTGAAGTGATTTAAGATACATTCTCTTCCAAGTTTGATTAGAATTCCCTCATCACCTTCTTCGTTAATGGCATGTCTTGTATATCCTCGTTCCATATCATAATTCTTACTGTCTCCATCTAGCAGAGCAGATCTCATTCCTCCTTGAACAACTTGCGTCCCATGGGTAGGGTGGGCCATATTTTCTTCAGGCACTGATAAAAACAGAACACATTTAATGAGTTTTAAGGCCCAAAAGGTATTCAAGTTACGAAACCTCAAGAACAGTGGCACAAATATTGTTATTTCATACTTACTGAGGCACCCTCGATACCGTAATTCAGTGTCTCTCCCTTGATTACGGACTGCAATTGCATCTAGAATTGTACCTGGAGAAACAAGATTTGTGGGTCTCACCACTGTGAGGAGTTCTGTCAGGCTTATAAGTGGTAGACGAACAGCACTCATAACTGCAGCAGAGGCAGCAGTTAAAGCAGAACTCTCTCCACTATCTTCTGAGCCATCATGACTGCTATAGATAGAACCATTGTCGATACAATCTGCTTGATTAGCTCGAACCCATTCAACAACAGCTTGAAATATTTCCACCTCACGGGCATAAAATGAATCTCTTTCAATTAAAGCCTTCAAGCCAGTCTAAAATATCAAAAAAAAAAACAAAGAGGGCAAAATGATTAAATTACAAGAAATAACATATTACAAACGCTTTATTAGTTTCAAACTTACTGGCGAGAGGTGCAAAAATGACTCATGCTTAATAATTTCCTGAGCATTTTTGTCCATGAACGAGCAACAAACACGAATAAGAAACTGCAGCTCATAGAGTCTGGCAGCATCATAAATCATACAAACATTGCGTATTTGCAATATTTGGCGTAAGTAGTCAGCAATGCTTGATTCAAGATCCACAAAGCCGTACTGGTGAGCTAGTCCCAATGTTTCTAAAATAACCTCCTCCTGAAAGTTTTAAAAAACAACAAATCAGTTGCTGACAAAGAAAAAAAAAGCAATCATAGTTCTCATAGATCATGATGCTGTGTACCTTTTGATTGGCAAGTGACATGTGACCTGTGTATATATATTTCAAGAGGGCTTTGAATGCATGCAAGTTTGTTCCCTTAAGTTCAATTTCTGCTTGTTTTGATTCACGAAGACCTCCAAATAACAGAGCTCTGCAAAAATAGAATATGAAATTAAGTTTTCCGTAATTCATTGCAGTGATTAATCTAATGTGAATAGGTTTCCAAGAACATACCTGAAATATTCACTACATGCTGCCAAAATGACTTTATGGCCATAAAAACGCTGGCCATCAACAGTAAGAACCACATCACTGTATTCATCATTCAAATACAATGCTCCTATATGGTCTGAGAGAAAGGTGGTATGCTCTATCTCCCCATTTGGAGCGACTCTGCCCATATGATGGTTGCTACTCATCTTGTAAAAGGTTGATGATGTATTGTAGTTGAACTATCTAATGATTAAAAAAAGGACGACAGATCAACAAACATTTTTTTAACAGGAGGATGAAAGTTTAAATGATGAGTTCCAATAACTAATTCTTTTTATTTTCATGAAACTGATGTTCATGAGAAAGATGTCAGTCTCAGTACAATCAAGTAGAGTCCTACAATCAAGTTCAAAGCAGTGAGAGAGAAAAGGGTTATAAAATGTTTTCAGACATGCCAGTTTTCAGACACAAGATGAAGTGGTCCTTCCAAATATAGTACACCGAAACAGTGTTTGACAAGGCAAACTTTTTGAAAAGATTCAAGCAAGGGATTGAAGGCAAAATAAGCAAAGTCTTGGGTGACAGATATCCCAAACAACCGAACCTAGACCAAACGCAGCAGTTCCACAAGAGTGACTAGCAGTCTCAAAGCATCAAAGATGCATAGATTTCAAAAAGGCAAGGTCAGAGCGATGTCAAACAATTCTTACCTCAGTTTCATCGTCCTGACTAAAAGCCTCTCCACTTTACTCCTCTATTTACAAAAACGACAAGACGACAAAACACGAAGACACCTCGAAAGTCGCTGAACTGCAATATGAGTTTGATAGGAAATGCGACGAAACTAAGAGAAATTCAACACGATGACTATGAGAAACTAATGCTAACGTTCCGCGCTCTGCGCCCCGCTCCACCCCGCCCCCTTCGCCTCCCCCCCCTCCCCGTTACTGGTTTTTCAGCGACGAAAACTAACCGTCGTTTGTCTAATTCGTCTAGGAGGACGTAACTGTTTTCAAACTAGGTCTAACAACGGCAGGATGGTGCCGCTCGGGCCGCTCGGGACCGTCGACGCTGCTGCTGGTCCGCTGCTATTGCTACGAAAATAGACGAGAGCGTCTGCTTCGTCCGGCCTGAGCCGTGGTCGTCTGCTGTACCCGGCGCCAGTACATGTACATGGCTTGTTCCTTTGCAATTTATTCAGTCTCCGAATTAGCAGATACGCGAAAATGGTAATATATTTTCCAATTTAGAAGTTGAAAATAATACCGGCAGAAGTTGCTGCAAACATTTGAAATGTGACAAAATTTTTGCCCACTGATGGCTTGACTGGCAGTGTGCTAACCTATCTTTTGTTTCAGTTGATTGTAGTTTTTCAATGTACCTTGTGATAGTTTAATTAAATGAAAATTTCCGTTAGGAATCAATTTAAAATTAATTATAGTAAGACCTTGTAACTTTCAAATGGGGGAAAAGACAATCCAAATTCAATTATGATCAAACTGCTGTTGTTTTCTAATTTTTAATTCAAAGCGTTGATTTTCTTAAAATGATTCAAGTATTATTACGTAGTTAGAGTTTTGTATTTCAACTGTCAAACAACTCTTAATATTCCCTACATTACAGGCTCTTCTTGGAGCTCAGATGGTGATCACTTTAGTCATGGTCAGTGTGTTTCAGAAACTTGGCCATTTTTTCTCATTAGCTAGGTGGTTACTTTGTTCCACTGGGTAAGTGTTCACGACATCAAAGAATAACTGTGATATTATGAAGTGTAGCATTTTCATTATTTAAGTGTTTTATCCTTTGTTTTTAGTTTGATACGTTACCTTTACCCTACTGACAATGAGTTGAAAACGCTTGCTGGCATTCCCAAAGAAAAACCCAAAGGCAAGAAAGGCAGTCGGACATCTGCTAGAGAGGTGTTTCGGATACCAAGGAGCTTAGACGTGCCTGTAAGATCTCATCTACAATCTTTTGAGAAACAACAAAAATAAAACAAAGCATTTGCTTTGATCCAAGCAACTTTTCAAATGTTGTTCCCTGTTATTTTGGCTGTTTCAGCTGGAGAGTACAAAAGTTACAGCTCTTGATGTGATTCATTTGCGATTTTACTCAGAGTATCAGTGGCTTGTGGATTTTGCACTCTATGCTAGCTTAGTATTTTCAATGTCTGAGGTATGTAAAATTTTTAAAACCCTTTTTTTTTTTTTTTTTACATTTTATAATTTATTTGTTTGTAAATTTTCTTGAGAGTCAAATTTTATGTTGGTTTTCTTACATTTTTAAGATCTACCATGGATTCTACCCCATCAAGGAAGAGGTCAACTTGTCTACTGTTTGGTGTATACTGGTTCTCGGATTTGCCTTGTATCCTTATTTTGCTCTGGCTCTGTCAACTAACTGCACTGGAAATCAAATACCTAATCACCATAGATTTCATACCATAAACAACAATTTATTATTATTATCGGTTGTGTTTTGTTTCTATTTGTATGTTTCCTCAATACGTGTTCCAGAAAAGTACTTGTTAGTTTAACAGTTCAGTATTTCAAAGGTGAGGAGTCAGTGGGTGAACGATCCACTGTCATCGTAGCGGCATTTGCTTTTTTGCTGATTGCAATGATGGTAATGGTTGTGGATGAGCGCAATCTTGAATCTGGCTTGGAGTCAGCCTATCGAAGTTTTAATTCAAGTGCTGCTAGTTTCCTTGGAAGCCAAGGCTTGCAGTCTTCGTAAGTCCGAAAATATTCTCTTGTTTTAGCTTTGTTCTATTTGATAATAATTGTGACATAATATTCACACATGTCCATCCTTTTTTCTGATTTATACTTTTTTCAGAGGTCCAGCATCAAAACTTGTCCTAAAATTTTTTTTAGCTTTGTGGTGTGGGCTCATTGGTGGCCTGTTTATCTTCCCTGGTTTCAGAGCAGCTCGTATGCACTATGATCTTTTAAAGTATGTAGGAATCCCATATTGCAGATAAATATCAGTTTTATGCTCCATCTATTGTTTGTGATGTATTTTTATACCTTAGGTATTATGAAGTCAACCGCATACGCCGTTTTTTGCTGAATATAAGTTTTGCCTCACCTTTTTTCCTTGTACTCATGTGGGTAAAGCCTGTCTGTAGAGATTATTTAACAGTCAGAATATTTTCTGGGATGTCTGCTCCTTTGTAAGTAGAAAACTTTGGTATGATTTTTGTTTCCAATATTATATTATAAATCCATGCTCATTCATAGTTTTCATTTTCAGGATGAGTGATAGTGCATTTGACAGCATGCGCTTGATTGTTGTTATAGCGGTGGTGTCTCACCGACTTTTCCTAATGCCTCTTTATCTGCAAGCACATCTCAACATGGCATACCAAAGAGTTCAAGAACAACGCAAAGAAGCTGGAAGAATCACAAATCATGAACTTCAAGAGAAGGTAACAAAAACTACTGTTTGAGGGATAAAACTATCTTTTTATTTGCATTCTTATTGGATTTTTGTTCCAGATTGCAAGTGTGTTCTTCTACCTATGTGTTGTAACACTTCAATATGTGATTCCCATATTTTGCTGTCTCTTTTTTGCCTTTCTTTTCAAAATTCTTGGTGAGCTTTAAATTGAGTTCAGAAAAAGATTTCATGAAGGCAGGAGAGGTTCTTAGTCCATTCCAACACTGATTTATATTTTCAGGTGGTCTTACCTGGGGTGGGTCTGAAGTACCCATGGAGAGCCCTGCTCTTTTCTTTCCTACTCCTGCGGCTTCTGAAGATTCTACTACTATTATGCAATCTGCCAGACAATTTACACTTGCTCTGGACTCTCTTAAACAGGTGGTTATGCCAACTTCATTTGGAAGTTTGATGAGACAAAGTATGGTGCACGAAATAATTTAACTGTTTGTGTTCTAGGTTTTTACTGCTGAAGTATCTCGTGGAGTTTTTGGATTTGCGCTGTGGTGGTCTACATTTGCATGGTTTTCTTCTTCCTTCCTGGGTTTACTGTACCAGACTTATTTTAGCCATACTTAGTAGTGATTGTATGCATCCTGGATTCCAATGCCAGCATATTTAATTGAACTAAGGATTTGGGTTGTCCTTGCAATAAAAACAGTTCAATGTGTGCAATATGTGTAAATATTTTGTATAAAATTGATAGGGCAGGTGTGTTGTGCTGCACAGCCATAGCCATACCTACTAGTGTTAACCCTGACTTCAGTGCTCAGTATTTTGTGTTGTTTGAAAATGTTGTTGTTTGCATTTTATTATGTATTTTTCTTATTACAAATGTCAGTATTGATCTCAAACCAACTGTCCTGGTGATTTCATACACTTCTAGGAAATTTCAGGACTGTCATTCGGTCGGAAAGCGGATTCTCCCCACCACTTCCCCACCGTTCCCCGCTTGTTGGCCCCCAGGCGAGGGGTTTGTTGGCCCCCAGACGAGAGGGGACATGCGGGGAACGGTGGGGAAGTGGTGGGGAGAACCCACTATCCGACCGAATTACATGACAAAGGGAGCTTTTGTTCCTGAGTTGTTATTTGATCTTGGACAGTAAGAGCATATTTTGGCTATTTGTTCTTCACAAACATGATCCAGAGAATTACAACCCACACTTCAGTCAAAATAATTTCTGGTATGTTTGTGATGCCCACAAAATTTGTTCCCTGCTTTTTTGACTTGACGACCATGGTTTACACTGCCATTGCCATCATAGGCACAGCTTGCTATGCCTTAAGAGGTACCTAGTTGAACTTTGTGTTCCAATTCTTTGAAGACTGTGCTTTGCATATATGCTTTAATTGCTATGTAAAACCTAGGTGGGAAAGTAAATCTTCTTTCATGAAGCTATAAAAATGAACAAACAAGGACATTTCTTTATAAGTGTCAGAATCTCAGTTCTGCTCTTGCTCAAAACATGAATTTGTGATGTTTAAGAAAAATAACATTTGCTGAGCTTGTGTTTTAGAAGCAATAGTTTGTTACCTTATTTGTTACGAGCAAAATATTTTATAATCACCCAAATTCTTATATGCAACCTCAGTTGCATGATTGTATTTTTATAAATACCTAGATTTTGTGTTGTGTGTTGAATATAGCATTTAAAGACAAAATGTTCAGCCAATTTGTTCTATTAAAAAAAAAACTGTAATTTTATTTCTCGTGACATGGTTGTGATTGTGACTGTTGTAAAAATGATGTTATTGTTTCCAATAAGAGATTGTCCTGCAACTTGTCACTTGGCAATTTATTTTGGGCCTCCCTTCCCGAGCTGTGTATTCTAGCGTACTGCCGTCGCGTTGAGCGGCCAGAAACCCAACATGCCGATACGTGTGTGTTGTCACCCCTATGTCAGATTTCCAATAAACAATGCTCGATAGGAAAAACGTCACCCGTAGCGAGCAGTCAAGCCGTAGCCGCGAACGCTTCAGCCTGCGGATGCAATCCACCGCATAGACGTGTGATGGGTGGGTGGCATGCTGCACGGGCAGCCGGTAAAGCTTTACCGGCTAGCCCTGGGGTTTAGCGGCGGGGGGTGATGATGCCTTCAGCTGCGGCTCCGGGCCATCATCACCAGCGCTGTTAGCTCTCAAAAGACCTTTAGCGTTCGAGTTAACAATTACATCCATCTCAGGAGTCAGAATGCAAACCTCAAATGCAGGTAAAGTGTCTTGTTTGTGCTGACCGACTAGAGTATATTTGATTCCTGGACCTAAAATTGGCGAGCGCGTGACACATTCCCTTGATGGCACCTTTACACTCACAGTGCAAGCCCTTTTCTCTTTAAATAATGTACGTACTGGTATGGGGGTTGTACTGTACTGGGGGCTGGCACACTGGCTGATTGTGATGTGATTTTGTTTTCCGATCGATGTTTTCCGCCCGCCTTGCTAGGCACGATCTGACAGGTGCCAGGTCATGGTGGGTGGGTGTTCGCCAAACCCAAACTAAAGCCTGTGAAACTTGAGCCTGTAAAACTTGAACCTGTAAAACTTGAGCCTGTCCGCAAGATTATAATCTTCGGTGACATAAACCAGGATGGAGAATCAAGCCATGTCTCCTGACAAATTAGAGGTTTGATATTTTTTAAACATTTCTGGAAGAGTGTCACAGTCTGCTTTCATGTCTCTTTTTCAACTTTGACATGTCATCTATTATTTTTCAGCTCATGGATCTCCCAGAACATATCCTTTTGAAAATAATGGGTTACTTGGGCCATGATACCTTGGGAAATGTAATATCAAAAGTAAGCACCAAGTGTAGATTGTTGGCCCGTTCAAAAGTTTTATGGTCTGAGGCCCATCTTGATTTAGATACTTTCCTTATATTGGAAATCCCGACACTCTTTGTCCGGTAATGAGCAGACTGTAAAAATTAGGTTGACTTTCCATACATGTTCAATGCACTCATATTTTGTCCTGATTTCAGAAAACTTATAGCGAGTCCATACCTGCACTGTCTAACACTGACGTTGCAGGATTTTTGCGATGAAAGGAAAAAGTTTTTTCTTTCCGAAGAGTTAAGGCAGCAAATACTGACAGTTTTATTGAGCACCCGCTGCAAGGTCCATAAGGTCAGGCTTATGGTGGAAGAATACCGTCCTGAATTAGAGAAGTTTCTGTGGCGACACCTCGAATTGAGGGAGCTGGAACTTAAAGACAAGGCTGCGGAAGATGATCGTTCTTCTTCGTGAGTAATAATTAAATGAAGAACAATTTTACATTTTTATTATCTAAACTACGTGTAAAGGAGAACTGTGTCTGCCCAGTATGGCTGCATCTGTTGGTCATGTGGCCCATCACCTTATCTCTTTGAACCTAAATGATTCGTCGTTGCCGTTCTTGCCCAGGGCAGGGAAGTTCTTGTCCAGAGATTATGGTAAGTGATAAAATATACATGTTATTTGAAAATTAGCATAAGCGCCAGGAGTTAATGATTATTTTCAATGTTTTCACAGGAGTGAATCCGGGCCCAAATGCTTCTACCCCGAACTCACCTGATTCTCGGAGTGCCTTGGACCTTTCAGATGATATCTGGAACCACGATCGGTGGCTTGAAGACCTCGAGAAGGCAGAGGGTTTGCAGCACTTGGAGTTCATTCCCCCTGAACACAAAGTCCGAATAATCACAGATGCCGGGAGTGCGTGGGATATAGCAGCACATAATCTGTCAAAAATGATACGTGTCCACAAACGCTCTCTGAAGACTGTCAAATTGACCGTCACTAGCAGAAGCGTGTGGATGGCACTTGGCACATGCTCAAGACTTGAGGTCAGTGTGCAACTATCATCTTTAAATGACTCTTTGTACCGGGTGTAAAATGTAACACGCAACGGGCGAGCGGGTTGCCTATGCTCGACTCGGCGGGCGCGCCGGAATGGAGCGGTGCTGTTAGGAACGGAGATTGCGCCCCTGCGCCGCGGTTCACGCGTTTTTTCGCGCCATAGCGCCTTTGCGTCACCGCCACGTGTTGACTCAACGGTGCGCGAGGCCGCGAACCGCGGCGCCAGGACTTCAGGACTTCGCGACTTCGCGTCACCGCGGACGCTCAGGACTCCAGGACTTTAAGAATCATGGGCCCGCGACAACGCGAAGTCCTGGAGTCCTGAGCGTCCGCGGTGACGCGAAGTCGCGAAGTCCTTAAGTCCTGGAGCCGCGGTTTCGCGGCCTCGCGCACCGTTGAGTCAAGACATGGTGGCGAGGGGGTATGCGCTCTCTGAACCTGTGTACCGACTATTACGCTATTACGCTCTATTACGCCACAAATTAACCGGAATTTAGCTAAAAACGGCCTAAAACACACCAAAATTGATAAAATTTTGACAATTTTGGCTATTACGCGACTATTACGCGTATTATTACGCGTGCTATTACAGATAGAGTGAACCGACTATTACGCGAGTGCATACCCCCTCGCATGGTGGTGACGCGAAGGCGCTATGGCGCCAAAAAACGCGTGAACCGCGGCGCAGGGGCGCAATCTCCACCCCTAACAGCACCGCTCCATTCCGGCGCGCCCGCCGAGTCGAGCATAGGCAACCCGCTCGCCCGTTGCGTGTTACATTTTACACCCTACTATGTTTGTGAAAAAACCGTGGTCTTCCCTGTAGGACCTGTTGGTGCTTTGCGATGAGGATGGCTCGGGCTTTCGCACCATGCTGCGGAACATGCCACCGACTCTGCGCCGTCTCGATCTCAGGCTTCCTGGACAGCTGGGCGCCGAGGGGTTGGCGAGGGTGCTGCAGACACTGTGCAGATTCGCACCACGACTGGAATCGCTGACGCTGTCCGGCTTGTCCGCGTTCTACCCTAAACAGCAGAGCCTTTTCCCCGGCTTCGGGGTCTTGCAGCCCTTGCTGATGGGCACGGAGGAGCCCGGCACGCTCCGCGAGCTGTACCTCTGTAACATATGCCCCGTCGGCGGCCCGCAGCTCCAGGAGCTGGCCTCCATGGCCAACTTCAAGCTGTCCCTGAACAAGCTGGATCTGCGGAACTGCAAATGCAGCGAGGACTTCGTCAATGACCAGTGCCGGAACCGCGGCATATCTACATTGAAGGCTGCCATGCCCTCGCTGGAGTTGACTGCTAAATACGAGCCTGCGTTCTTGTGTCCTAACTTCCGAATGACAGGGTCAATGCTCCCAAGCCCTGATCGCTGCCGCATGTGCCGGGAGACACTTCGTAACGTTGCCAAGACAGCACTTGAATCATGTCAAGCAGGCCTCGATTACCGTGACGCAGCTCGTGAACGTGAGGATGCATATAGTGAACACATGGAAAAACGTCGTAAATCTGCTGAGGCATCTCAGCAATATGGAGTGGTAGCTGCTAAAGCTGGCGAAGCAGCTCGCAAATATAAAGAGGTATTTTGCGTGTCTAACGCGGCAGAGCGCCAATGGACAAAGACAGCTTGTCAAGTCATCAGGCTAGTATATACGCCAACCTTGCGACACGTTCTGGCAACGCGTAAATCTGCCATAGCAGCTCGTAAAAATTATGTGTCAACTCAGAAATCTGTTGCGACGGCTGATAACTTTGTCGTGCCATCTCTGAAATGTTATGCGGCAAAGGCAGCTTATGCATCTACTGAGAAAGCCTACAAAGCTGCATCTGAGGCTCATCAAGCTGCTGAACAAGCTGGTCGAGTTGCTCAAGAAGCTTATCAAGTTGCTTATAAAGCTCGTCAAGTTGCTGCTGAAGGTCGTCAAAATTTTGAGAAAGCTCTACAAGCTGCCGAGACGGCTTGGGCATTTTCTCGGGCGGCTGAACGAGGACATCAGCGTGCTATTGAAGCTCTGCTGACAGAGGAGCTGGGAGATATGGAGTGGTTACATAATAACATATGTTTCTATGAACCTGTCTTCTCCACATTCCCATTTTTCCCAGTTCGTAATTTCCAAAAATAATTTCCCACAGACAGTTTTGCCACTGCAGTCCCACACCATGGTGTCACTATAGTGGGACAAATATTTTTGGGAAAATTGTCCTGTGGTAACAAAGGTTTGGGAAATTAGACCGACAACCCTATCTTTTTATAAATGATTTTTACAAAAACAAAAATGTTACTTTTTGTGTAGACTGCAGATTTACGAATCTCTTCCCGCTTTGAATGTATTGATCACATGGTTAAAGTAGTAAATGTGATATTAATGTTTATAAATTCATTTTTATTTCTTTATTGTTGCATGTGCCAGTAATATATGTAATGTTAATGTTTATAAATTTGTTTTTATTCTTCGTTATAGTTTCATGTGCCAATCAGTCATAAGAATCATTAACAATCCCTCCCGGCAGACACCACCCTAATATTATTTTTAGGGTACCGCTTGGTTTCTGGACTCGGGAGTAAAAGCACGGTGGCACCTTTCTGTGTCTATTATAGTTTTAGATATGTTTCAAGTGTAAAGGTATCATCTGCTAAAAATATATGTCGTTGTATTTGTTTATCATTTGTTTTCTTCTGCCAACCCTGGATCCCAGAAAGTGGGTACAGAACTTTGACGCTCGCGCTCTGCAGCACACAAATCACTATCGCATCGAACTTGACAATGGCTGCCCCGTGGTTTAGAGGCAGAGACTCGTAAGCTGTAATAGTGACCACTTTCCTCCAAATGGTTGCAACTTTTTTGCAAATTCTTTCCTCAGACCCAGATTATTAGATGCTATAGTTCAAGCCACTAAAAAATGCCTCGTTGATCACGAAGTCTTTCAGACATCAATCACCTTCGAATTCCTCAAATAAGCAGGTGCAAAATTTAGGTTTTAAGTTTTACCATACAACTAGTCCTCAGCACCAATCAATGCTTCACCAATCATTTCTTTTCCATTAGTCTCCTACGCCACTCCTACCGCTGCCGCCCCCTGGTGACGACTGGCGGAACCAACACGCACTGCAGCGTGCCCCACCGCCTCACTGGCCTCCCTCCACCAGCTGGCGGCATGCTGGCGGCTCGGCCAGGGTAGGGCAGGGTGGCAGGGCGCCTCTGTCTCTGTCGAATGCGGGGAGCACGGGGGTTGCGCCGAGCAAGGCGACGCTCGCGAACGCCGCCCGCAGTGGCACTGCCTGGAGGGGGAGGAGGAGGAGGTGGCCCTGCAGGACGCCTCCGGTCGCGCCTAGAGTGAACTGCGTCGCACACCGGCAGTGTCCAGCTGGGGGGGAGAGAGAAGGGCGCCGGCTCCTTCGGACGCTTGGGACTGGACGGGTGGGGCGGGCGCGGGGCGGCGAGGCCGGGCCGTGCCGTCCCCTTACTCAGTTGGCGGGAGAACGCCTGCCGCAACGGAGCGGACGCGGCAGTTGCTCGCTCGGGGCCTCCACGGCCGCTCTCTCGTGTGCCGCGCCGCCCGCGCCGCACGCCAAGGGAAGGCCCTGCTCGCCGCGTCGTGCCCCGCGTCGCCGTGGTCCCGGTGGCCGCCGCCCTGGTCCGCGAATAGCGCGCTCAAGCCGCGACCGCCGCCCTGGTCCGCGACGGGCTGCGCGCTCTGTTGATGCTCGGCGGGCACCCACGGTGAGTTCCCTCTCGGGCCGCCTGCTCCGCGAGCGTCTGCGAGGCGAGGCGTGCACTGCGCGGCACTGCGGCGCCGACCCGGGTTGCGTCATCGCCCTTGCAGTTGCAGGCCTGCAGGCGAAGCGGGGTGCGGGTTCTTCCGGTTTCAACCCCCGATTCGAGCGTGTTTATTTGCAGCCAGCCGTCCTGCTCACCGGCCCGGCCGGTCGCCGCTGACTTCCCAACCGGCCACAGTAGTCGGTGTTTTTTTTTTCGGCCGCTTTCGAGTTGGGCTGACGCGGCGTACGCAAGCGAGGCTTGCCGAGAGTCGGCGTCGCGTGCGTCGCGTGGGTCCCGTGCGTCGCGTGCTGCTTGCGGCCGGCCGGCTGCACCCCTTGCACCCCTTCACCCTGGAGGAGCCCCCTGGCCGCGGCGGCCGCGCAGGCACCGCGTCGGCCACACCAGCACGGCGACGACTTGCACTGCACCGCCATGCACTGCACCGCCTTGCACGAACACGTGTCACTGCGGTGCCGGCTGCCTGGCGGCTGCCTTGCAGTACCTTGCAGAGGCCGGAGGGTGGCTCTACCTCCACGGGTCCGACTTGTAGAGGCCCGGGTCGCGCCGCTCCTTGCGCCGCGCCGCACCGCTATTGACTTTTTCCACGCGATTGCGCGGGGAATGTAACAAAATGCAGCAGAATGCAGTCATGCCAACGTGCGGGCGCGGCGCAGCCTTGGCACGCCCGGCACTCCGCTCGGCTAGTAAAATTCCGAGCCGCGTTCATCGCGTCGCAGAGCGGGGTAGTCGGGACTCGCTGCGGCGGCCATGCGCCATTCGCCATGCGGCTCGTGGTGGCGTGTGCACTTTTCTTTGATGCACACCGCTAATAAAAACAAACGGAGTAAAAAAATTGGGGTCAGATGCGCGACACGCGCGTGCAGATGGTATCGACGCCCGCGGCGGCCGTGTTAATGACAGCGATCGCCGTGAAGATAAACAAACGCGCCACGCGCGCAGCAGTGGAGCGGCCCCGGTCGGCAGCCTCCTGCAGACTGATTCCGCGAGTCGTTTTCGTCGCTCTGTCCCTCTCGCACTCGCGGGCGCCCCGTATAGGTGCGAGAGAGACAGAGCGACGAAAACGACTCTCGGAACCAGTCTGCTGGCCGAGGCCTGGCTCGTCCCCTCTCCTGCAGCCAGGCAGCCAGGCATTAGTATTTCAGTTGGACATGAAACATTGTGGGCCGTGCCGCCGTGCCTCCCTGCCGGACAGTCCTTTGTGCGCCCTCCCGGGCCCTCCCCTTGTCATTCATTATTACTCGGCCCGTAAAGCGCAGCCCGCTCTGCCCGCGCAGCCCCGTCCGCCGCGCGGGAAAAGAACAACAAAACGGAATTAATGGTTAAAGCTCGAGTCAATAATGCGCGCTGGGAGATGGAAGCTGGGCGCGGCAGCGGCAGCCGACTGATTCCGGGAGTCATTCTCTTTGCTCCGTCTCCGTCGCACCTCTAGGGAACGCACCACGAGTGGGAGAGAGACAGAGCGACGAAAGCGACTCTCGGAATCAGTCTGCGCGTGGAGCTGAGCGCCCGCGGATCGACGGGTAGGCAGCCCGCGGCGCACGGCTGCGTGGAGCATCGCGGCGGTGCCTACCTTGCATTACCATTACCATTACGGGCTAGACCACACATGATCGGATGCCGTTTCGGGCCCGACACATGCTCGCCTGCACTGCAAAACGAGACGTGGTCGTCCTTACTTGGGTGACACGTTATACCGGCGGAGACGAACCTCAAGCGGCTCGAAGCTCCCACTCCCAGGCCGATTCCGGACACGGCTTCGTCGCTCTGTCTCTGTCTCTCTCGCTCCCTTACGGACCGCGCCGTGAGTGCGAGAGAGACAGAGCGATGAAAGCGACGTGCCGGTGCCGTTAGCCTGCCGGATAATGTCGGACGGAAGCTCGATGCTCGATGCGGCCACGCTACGCCACGCCACGTCACGCCACACCACGCCACACCACACCACGGCACGCCACGCTGCGCCACACGCCATGCCACGCCACACCATGCCACGCCACGCCACGCCACGCCACACCACACCGGCACCGCACCCACCGCGAGGCGCAGGGCCGCGCAGGGCGCAGCGCGGCGCCGCCGGCCCGGACACGTAACACCGTAACACGTGCGCGCGGAAGGGCCGAAGCGCCAATCGATTCCGAGAAATGCGACCAGTGTATCGGCACATCCCTGCACAGTGGCGCGCCGTGGCGGGCGGGCCGACGGGCGACGCCACTCCAGCCGCACGCACGCCCCGCGCAGCGCCCCGCGCGCCCTGCAGCCCGGCTATTGGCAGTGCGTTATTGGCAGTTTGGCAGGCGGCGTTATCGGCAGCGCCTGATGACTCCGGCGAGGCGCGCGCCCCGCCTGGCCCCGCCTTGCACCGGCACTGCACAACGTGCGCGTTGTGCACAGTAGTATGTCTCTCTCGCTTTGTCTCCTCGTTTGTCTCTCTCGCTCCTGTACGGGCCGACCCATGAGTCCGAGAGAGACAGTGACTCTCGGAATCAGTCCGCAGCTGGACTCGGCGAGCGCGGAGCACGCCCTCAACCTGCCGCGCCGCGCGCCGACGAGGACCTCGACGAGGACCGAGCCATACTCGCTGCCACTCGCTGCTCATCGAGTCCCCCCCTCTCGCACTCGGCGTCGACTGCCGGGACTGCGGCCTCGCGGGGCAGGCCTGGGGTGCAGTGCAATGAAATGCAGGAAATTCAATGCATGCAAATGCAATGCGAGAGGCGGCCCGCGCGGTAATGACCAAACTTGCCCGGCCCTCGCGCTGGAATGGTGATGTTCCGCACGTGATGGTCGCCGTGCTCGAGGCCGCCAGGGTCACCGGGGTGCGTGTGTCACCAAGAAGGAGGGGAACGCTCCCGCTGGCAGCGTCCCCACGTTGTCGCCCCGCTTCGCGCTTCGCGGCGGCTTCTCGCGAGGGGTTCCCTTTGCCTTGTTGCGCGGGGTTCGCACAGTGGGCCAGAAGACCGATCGGTTCGAGTCCCATTTAGCGACTCTGGAGCTCGAAACGCGTCTGGAGTTTTGGCCACCTCCACCGGTCTTCTGGCCCACTGTGGTTCGCTCTGAACGCCCCGACGGAATGAACCGGCTGATGCAGTGGCGACTCGGTTACCCAGCAGGGACCCCCGGCGCTGTGATAGAGCTCCTTCATCTCCGCCGGGCTGCACTATGGGCTCCACGCCGCGCCATTTGTACCCCCCCCCCTCTGGACCGTTCATTTGAAACATATCGCCCGCTGGCCGGCGGCCCTTGCTGGCCCTCGCCAGCCCCGCCGTGATGTGTGGGGGCCGCGCGGGGCGGCCGGACCCCCGAGGGCCACACAAGGGCCCCACAAGGGCCCGCCGGGGACGGGCGGCGCGGCGCCCGGGTGACGGCTGCCAAGTGCTATTTGGCGCGGCCCGCGTCCAGATAAAATGAAAGACCAACCCCCTTCCAGCCTTCCAGCCTTCCAGTCCCAGGGCCTGGGCCTGGGGGTGGGGGGGTAAGCTGATCCGTCAAAGTGACAGGTTTGCAGGATGATGCTGCTTCCACGGCCGGTCTGTCTGTCTGTCTGTCTGTCTGTCTGTCTGTCTGTCTGTCTGTCTGTCTGTCTGTCTGTCTGTCTGTCTGTCTGTCTGTCTGTCTGTCTGTCTGTCTGTCTGTCTGCCTGTCCGTCTGTCTGTCTGTCTGTCTGTCCGACTCGCAGGAGCGCTGAACGGGACGGCCGGAGGCTGTAGGGTGCCTTGTCCCTGCGTCGAGCCTGATGGCGACGAGGCCGGAGGCACACACCACCGCCACCGAGTCACCCATACGCTTTGTTTTCTCTCTCGGCCCGACAACGCTACTACGTCCCTCCCAGTGGCGTGGCCGAGGGCGCGGCGCCACTGCTTACTTTTCATTGCGCTGGATGAGGACCAGGACGACCCTCGCTATCGCCGTGATTACATCTTTATTTGCCGCGACTGTTGTCCTTCCTGCGCGTCCGTCTTCCTCTCCTGGCAGGCGTCACAAGTCCGTCCGTCCGTCCGTCCGTCCGTCCGTCCGTCCGTCCGTCCGACGTTGTCCGTCTGTCCGCCCGCGGCGTGTCGCTGTTCGTCGCGCCGCCACCACCACTGCTCCGGGCAGGGGGAATTCTCCTGCGAATAATACGAAGCAGCAGCGCGCGCTTATTTGCAGAACGCATGCAAGGCAATATGCGCACGCGTACGGAGTGAGTGTACGGCATGGCGCGGCAGGCGTGCATGCTGCTTGTAATTAAACGCCGAGCTCCACCCTTCGCCCCCCGGTGCTGTATACAGTGGCGGGGAGGGGGAGGAAAGAAAAAAGGGAGGGGGGAGCATGGCACGATGAAATGGTAACAGCGGTGAGTAATTGTCAGTGGTATTCTTTTTGTCATAGCAGGAGCGTTTTCATATATTTTTTTTCACCAACGTTTATCGTACCTTTGAGGAAGCAGAAATACGAGTCGTAGAACGGGCAGTTCTTTAAAAGTGGACCCGTTTACAGGAGTTCATATGGAACAAATGAATGAGTGAAAATTTTGTCCCGCCATAATTTGATATGTTGTTCGTGGGGTTGAACAAGCATTTTGAGAAAGTCCCTTACAAGAGGTATATTAAGTTCCATTGGAACAAGCACAGACGTAGTACTTTTTTTCGAACTCCCGTGCTTTTGTGCATTTCCTGTACACTGTGAGAAAAAAGTACGGAAAAAGTACGGAACATGTCTGGTCAATAATTTGCCTGGAACGTCCGTACTTGCCAAATACGGAACGTTCCGTACTTTTTTTCCGTACCCATTTATATGGGTTCATATGGAGCAAGTACGGAACGTTCCGTACGTTTCTCCGTACCTCCGTACTATATTTTTCTGTACCATTTCCGCACAAAAGTACGGATTTTTTTTCAGTGTACCAAAGTACTGTACGGAATACCCATTTTACAGTGGCCCCGAGATGCGCGAGTCGCTCGCCGGAGAGATCAGCGATTGGCTGTACCGAGCCACTGCGCTAGCTCGCTAGCTCCGCTTGCCTCGCTGGCACACCGTCTGGTCGCGGCTAATTGATTGGCGGCATGATTGAGCGGTCGGCGGCACCGAGCTCATCAGTCTTACGGCGAAGGTAACACGTGGCGCCCCGCCCCGTTTCCCGCGGCCCCCGCCCGCCCCCGCCGAGGAAGGGCAGACGAGACGAGGCTTTGATGGCGAGAGGGACGAGTGGGGCGGAGTGACTTTTAGAAAGGCGATTAACCGAGAGTCGGGGGTGGGGGCGGCGAGGGGCGGCCAGGGGCGGCGAGGGGCTGGGCGGGGCCGAGCTCGGCGTTGTCCCGCCTTGTTGTACAATGATGCCAGCCTGGCTGCCGCGCTGCCGCCGCGCTGTTGTCGCCCGATAAGAAGGCAGGCAGCCTCTCAGCGCCGCCCTCGCCGCCTCGCAGTGGCGCAGCACGCGCAGCGCCGTCTGCTCGCCGTCTCACCGCAATGGCGAGAGGGCAAAATGGCGAAATGACAAAATGCAATTACGGAAAGTGAGGCGCGCTGCAAGACGCGGCGCGGGCGGGCGGCGTGATGCATGGGGCGTTAGGTCCCTACGGTGCTCGCTGCGAGAAGGGGGGGGGGATTTGGCGCGGAGCGAAAGGAAAGGAAGGGGTGACGTGGAAGAGTGCGCGAATCGACTCGGCTCTCGCGCCTAATCGTATTCATGTATTCCGCAGGCCAGAAGGCCCTGCCGCCCTGCCGCCCGGTGGTGGTCGAGAGCACGGCGACGGTGGCGGCCCTGGCGGAACTTTACAGCTCTCTTCGTGTTGTCCGCGCACTGCAGTGCGGCGAAGGCGGCCTCAAGCTTCCGCGGCTAATGTGTGTTTTCTTGCCTGTTGCAGCGACGGCGTGGCCACGCTGGCGGCGCTGCGGGCCTCGGCCTCCGCCCCGTGGCGTCGCGCACGTCGCGCGGCCATGTGACGGCACTCCACGCTGCGCCCCCCGAGCCCGCCCTTCGGCCCGCCCCCGCACGGCCAGGGCCCGGGCCTGGGCCTGGGCGCCGCCGCCATGCCGCCGCCGTCGGGCTCCCCCGGGCCGCCCGGACCGCCCTGGGCGCGGCCCTGGGCCGTCGCCATCCTCGCCATCGCCATTGTGGCCCTGGAGGCCAGCGCCGTGACGGCCGCGCCGCAGTCCACCGACCGAGGTAAGTCCCTGCCGCGTCGCCGCGTCGCCGCGTCCTCGGCGAGGTTGACAAGTCGGTGATGGACGTCGTGAAGTGCCTTGTGCCGCGCGCCTTTTCCCTTGTGCAGATTGCGGCCTCGCGTGCGCCTGGCCGCCTCGCCATTCATCCACCTCCTTGTCGAGGCCCCGCAGGCCGTGCAGGCCGTGCAGGCCGCCGTGTCGTCACTCGTCGCGCATGGAAATGTGTGTCGGCCGCACGCGTCGGGTATTTTTCACCCCTCGCCTCGACGGCGTGGCACCGCTGCCAGCCGAGCGCCGCGACGCTGGAGTACTACTTGATGAGCGTCGTGGTCGTTGAACAACGCCGAAGACACGGCGGGTTGGAACAGTCGGCCCGGCCCGCGGAGGGGCGGATGGGCGGGTGGAAGTCAGTGGGAGCGCCGCGGGGCCGCGGGGCGGCCCGGTGTTCGATCGCTCGTAAATCGGCCGAAAACACCGGAAAGAGCCCCGCCGTGCCGTCCGGGTGATGAGGGGAGGGGAAGGGGGCAAAAAGGGGCGGGCTGCCTCTCATCCTTCCGTCCCGAGCGCGGCGTGGCGCGGCGTGGCGCGTCTCGCGGCGAACAGGCCGCCTTGTCGCCGCTGTCGCTGCGGGCAGACACTGCCACTGCCGCCGTTATTGCAGACACACGCCCCCTCCCCTCCCCCTCCCTCCCCCTCCCCTCCCCCTCCCCTCCCCCCTCCCCTCCCCTCCCCCCCCCTCCCCTCCCCTCCCCTCCCCCTCCCCTCCCCCTCCCCCTCTCCTGGAGGAAGGAACACGGAACAAGCAACACGACGGGCTCTGTGACAAAGTGGAGGCACGACTGTATTGTCTCTGCGTCTCACGGCGAACGCCCCACCGCGCATCAGAGCCAGGTTCCTCGCCCTCCCCCCCCCCCTCCTCCTCGCTCACAGAGGCATGCCGACGGAACTAACTCGATACACTCCTGCACTCGCACCCAACTCTCACTCAATTCTGTTGGTTTCCGTTCAGAACTCGGTCGACTCTCAGGTGCGGTGCGCGGTGCGCGGTGCGCGGGGGGTGGGGGTAGGGGTAGGGGGGCCTCCACGGGCGCCGTATCGCCGAGGTGCGACTGCGAGCTCCGTGGCTGGCCTCCACTCCTGGTGTAGCGGCGCGGAGGGGCGGGCCCAGGCGGGCCGGCTGCTGCTGCTGGTGGAGCGACCGCGTTGCCCAATGCCCGCGTGCTATTCGACCGGAATACATTATTTAAATGTGGCGCGCGATTGAATTCCATGGGATGCCGATCCCGGAGCACCGAGAGCAACATATATAAAGCCCCTCCGCTCGCCCGCTCGCCTCCTGACACCAGCAGCAGCCGTCTTACTTGCGCGGCTCGGCCGGCTCGCCACGGCCCGGCCCACACCGCCCGCAGCCCGCATGCTCCATAAAACATGACGGCACAGCGAGGCTAGCGCGGCTAGCAAGGCTAGCAACGCCAGCAAGGCTGCTTGTCCCTCGCGAACACATTTATTTTCTCTTCCCTTTTTATTTTTAAAAAATCCCTGTCAAGGCAATGCTCTGCTCGCTCCGAGTGCGCGGCCGGCCCCCGGGCACTCCCCGTGCGTGAGCGCAACCACGCCCTTCGGGGCCGCCGCCCCCCACCCCGCCCCTCCCCACCCCTCCCCACCCCACCCACCCCGCCCCACCCCGCCCCACCCCGCCCCCCGCGTCCGTCACGCCGGGTTATACTACTCCCCTGATGACTGCGTACTTTGGCCCGTAACGAGCTGTTGACGGCGGGCTGTTAATAAAGGCGCAGAATGGATAGGAGTGAGTGCGACAGTGGCGTAGCCTCGGTGTCAGCAGACTGATTCCGAGAGTCGTTTTGTCGCTCTGTCTCTCTCGCACCTTCATACACAGAACGCTCCATGAGTGCGAGAGAGACAGAGACGAAAACGACTCTCGGAATCAGTCTGCCGCGGTGCCGCGCTGCAAAGCGACACGTTTTCGTTGACGCACCGCTGAGGGCGGCAGGGCGGCAGGGCGGCCCGCTTTGACTTCCGCGCACAAAGGCCAGCCCCCCGCCATGGCGCGCCATGCAGGCAGCCCGCGCGCGGATTTGGGCTTTGGGCGCCCCGACGGCCTCGACGGCCTCGACGCCGGCCCGCTTTCCATCATCTTATTGCCTCGGCTCCCGTCCCGTTCCGGCCGGGCCGGGCTGCGGCTGTTTGCGGCCCGTTTGAAGATTGAAACGCCCTCACTGCCAAAGCGCGGTGGCGCCCCCGTCTAAAAAAACAGCACGTGAAAAAATAAAACGAAAACGGAGAGGACCACGATGATGACACGTTGACAGGCACCGCGATGAGCTGGCTGCGAGGAGTGCGAGGCGTGAATCACTCAGCGTTTTGGTGTACACAAGAGTACGGATGAGTACACCTTGCAAAACCTACTAATTTCACGTGCACACGCAATTTTATACCCTTTTTAGCGTTTCAGACGACAAATAACGTCAAATCATTCAAAAATTGAAGAGTTTCGAACTTTAAATACGTGTTAGTACACAGACTACGGGCTGTACACATGACTACGCTAGTGATTCACCCCTCGGCTGGCTGGCACAGTGGGCCAGAAGACCGGTGGAGGCGGCCAAAACTCTAGACGCTTTTTGAGCTCTAGAGTCACTGGGACTCGAACCGAACGTGTGACCCCACCAATGGATTCCTCGTTCGGAGAGCAATCCATTGGTGGGGTCACACGTTCAGTTCGAGTCCCATTTAGTGACTCTGTAGCTCAAAACGCGTCTAGAGTTTTGGCCATCTCTGCCGTTCTTCTGGCCCACTGTGGCTGGCTGACTGTCTGGCTGACTGACTGGCTGACTGGCTGACTGGCTGGCTGGCTGACCGTCCGTCCACCAATAGACTGCCGGACGGTGACATCGACCCGCCCCGATCGGTGTAGGGCTGGCTGGCGGGGAGTAGCGGTGAGCTGGAAAAAAGGGGGCGGTAGGCGGTCATTGAGTCGCTTGTTATATGCCTTACACGCCTTTAGCGCTCGATACTGTAATGCCCGGCCGCGATTGCAGTGATTGCATACGGCCACGGCCCTGCAGACTGATTCCGTGAGTCGTTTTCGTCGCTCTCTCTCTCTCTCTCTCTCTCTCTCTCTCTCTCTCGCAGGGCCTCACGTGTAGGTGCGAGAGAGAAAGAGCGAAGGTAAAACGACTCTCAGAATCGGTCTGCTGCTGGGACGACGGGGACCTCGGAGTCGCGGGCGGCCGCCATGGCCACGAATAAGTCGTCGGTCGAAGCGGCTTCCGTGTTCGGGGCGGCGCGGCGGCGGTCTGGTGGTGGGGGAAGGGGAGACTTCTAGTCACGTGTAACAAGTAGCGTTTGTCGCCCCATTGAACTTTCTGCTGGCCCCGATTGGCAAGGGAGGGGGGGGGGAATGGGCCCCGGGGAGCGCGGCGGCGGGTCGGCGGGGACGCGTTGCAATCAATGAGGGCGTGGACAGCCTGCCTGAGAAGTGTTTAAAGTTGCCCATCGAGCTCCTCCTCTCCTAGATGATTTCGCAATCAGTGCGAAACTTGCAGCGCGCGGCGAATCTCTTGATCGGATTAAAGGACCGGGGGGGAGGGGGAGGAGGGAGAAGTAATGCCTCCGAAGTGCGCACAAGTACCGCACACTCCCTCCTCCGGCCGCAGCCAAGCGTGAAACGGGAGTTGGAGTACCGAGGGGGCAGCGAGGGGGTGGGGGATCCTTGAGGCAGAGCGCACGGCCACAAGAAAGCGCTCGCCGCTTGGTCTCACACACACACACACACACACACACACACACACACACACACACGCGCGCGCGCACGCACACACACACACACACACACATACACACATACACACACACAGAGAGAGAGAGAGAGAGAGAGAGAGAGAGAGAGAGAGAGAAAGAGTCGAGGGGGAAACGACTGAGAAATTTTGTGTACATCGGATAGGGATATTCCCGGATAACCCGCGGATTACCTCCGGATTACATCGAAAAATTTCCAGGATTACCATTGGATTGCGCCGGATTACCCCGGATTACCTCAGAATTTCTCCGGATTTCCCCGGATTACCTCAGAATTTCCCCGGATTACTTCGAAATTTCTGGTTATCCGGATAGCGGATAACCAATTTGCTGTGCATCGGATAACCGAAGTCGTTTCCCCCTCGGAAAGAGTTCCTGCGGAAACCAGCAGCACGATGCCGAACTGTGTTTTGCTGCTGCTCTTTCTCCCCTCAGTGCGAGAGCGAGAGTGAGATCGACGAAAGCACTGTCTGGATCAGCCTGCTGCAGGAACCGCAGCCAGGGCGAGCCAGAGCTAATGAGGGGGACGCGGCGACGGCGGGAAATTGAAACACAGACCGCCTGCACTGTACTCTCGTGTTCCGTGTTCCGCGGCGACTGAGGTTAAACCGGAGGTTCGCCCACCTGCCGGCCGATTCCTAGTGCTGCTATCGCTCTGTCTCTGTCGCACTCGTGGGGAGTGCCGTTGAAGAGCAAGAGAGACAGAGCGATGGCACCAGCCTGCTGGCCCACCTGGGCTCTGCGGATCCGCCTAACGAAGCCGCTGCACCAGGGTGGCGAGGCGAACTCGGACCCGGACCGCAAGCCGCTCTGCCTGCAGCGCGTCCGGGCCCCGCGGCGCGGCGCGGCGTGCGGCCCAAGCCAGCCCAGGCCCAGGTGGCTGCGGAGGCCAAGCGGGTTAGCAAGCAGGTCGCGCCTCCTTGAGGAAAGTTGCAATAAATAACGAGGAAAAAGGCGCGGCAAAGTTGTGTGTGTTCCAAGCGGGCCGCGGGGGGCAGAGCGTGACGAGTGCCGTGGCGGAGCGCTCTCGAATCCGGGCAGGGGCTTGACTTCCCGGCGCCTACTATCTCGAAGGTCCTCGGAGGGACGCAGCCCGCTGAGCGCGCCTCCCGCCCCGCCGCCCCGCCCCACATACCCTATTCTACAGATAAGATCCATGGGAGCCAGCGGGGCGGGGCGGGG